AATCCTCTCAACCTACCTTCTAACCTACTTTAACATCTCTACTTTGTACCCCCTTTCCCTTATTAGTTGACACACATATTTACGAACTACTAAGTTTTTAAGGCTATCCATCTTCCGGCTGCTATGTAATAGGCAAAAATATACCTTTTGTTCCATTAGGGCTAAAGTACATTTTACTAAGCATGGTTCTTATCTGAATTTGGCATGCGCCCGTGAACGTTAAGGGGCGGAAAAACGGTCACCTTCATGTATCCGCTTGGCCACTCTAAGTGTTGGTCTCGTGGACTTTGATAGTCCTGGCTGTGTCAAGTGGAATATCTTCTGTGGCATTTCAAGGCTTGTCGCCAAAACTCACATTCGCGCATCAAGCAATGATGTTAAACCGACTATGAACACATCAAAGCTGCCTATATTAATGAACACCTTTACTCAACAGAGCAGGCGAAGATTGCACTATCGAGGCAAACAGTACATTGAGCAAAGGCATTAGTAGATTGTTAATTAGCGAACTAATGTAGTAAAAGTAACACGTGATTGTGGGGTGCGCGGAGGGACTCGCACCGAGGTTGGAATTTGTTGAGGTGGAGGACCAAAGTGCGGGTTACCAGCCGAGCCGTGAGGTTAGGGCTCGATGGGACCAGTGGCGGAAACAATGGTTGAGGCGAGTGTCGCGATGTGGTAATGGATTACCGTTGGGGTACGGTGGCAGGAACAGTCATGTACTCAGGAAGCAAAGTGTGGAAAAGGATTATTTTCTTTCAATAACCCCCCTCCTCCCACCCCCCTCCCCCCCCTATTTCCCCCCCCCCCCCCCCCCCCCCCCCCCCCCCCCCCAAAAGGGAGACCCCTTACGAAAGTGTGTGTACGGTGCAAAAATTCTGGCTGCGCAGGTACTTGGTGAGGACGGGGTGGTTCTCTATTTTGTCTAGGGGGGTCCAATTATCTTCATTGAGTGTGTGGTCCTTCCCGCGAATCAGAAAATTAATGCGCCGTACTCCACGTGGGTCATAAACTAGATGGCTCAATATTTTTTTGGAAGTGATGATTGGTTCGTTTGGCGGGCGTGTCATTCTGTGCGGGTGGGTGCGTGGCATCTGACTTGTTGATAGAACATATGGCCGGAGGAGGCTCGTTCTGGGCTGCTGTACCAGTCAGTGGACCGTGACCGGGGTGATCATGTGGCTGATGCGAAATGACCCGTAATATTGGGGGCATAGTTTTGGGGTGACGGACAGGCGGAGGTTCTGAGTGTCGAGTAATACAAGGGCTGGGAAGTAACAGGGCGGCGATGGCAATTGGCATTGCACTTAGCGATGATGTTTGACTTTTTTATGGCATCTGCTGCCCGGGTTGAGGCTGCTTGTAAAACTTTGGCGAGTTTTTGTGCTCGCGAGACCGGGTTGCCGGGATTTGGTGTCATGGGCATGGTGCAGATTTGTTCGTGGTTGAGGTAGAACAGCAACTATTGTGTGATTGCTGAAGTGGAGTTGTTGTATGTGTATTCGATGAGTGGCAACTGCTGCTCGCACGTGGCTCAAATTAACTCCTCCATGGCCTGATTGGTGCATTCTGTTTGACCATTGGTCTTGGGGTGGTATGATGATCTGAATCATAGTCGTGTACCGAACTGCTGCCACAGTTTCTACCAGATTTTGCTAGTGAATTGCGTGTCGTGGCAGATGATGATCACCGCGGGTATCTCGTGCAGCCGAACGACGGTGGCGATGAAAAGTCGGGCTTTCTTCGGCTGAATTTGTTTTTTAGCATGCTGCGAAGTCTGCCACTTTTGTTAGTCAGTCAACAACCACGAGGATCGCGTCGTTCCTACTCGCCCTAGTTGGTAAACCCGTGGCAAAGTCCATCGTCACTCTGGGGGTGGTATCGGCTGCAACTTCCCTTTTGGCTACTTTTGTGATGACATCATGAGCTGCAGGTGGGACTCTTTGCCACGTGGCACTAGACGTTGGTCAGCATTTCGGGCTAGTAATAATACCGATGCGGTTGCTGTCGTGTTTTTTTTAACCCGAGGTGGTTCAGTCATGTGCCTCTTGTCATAGTAACTCTTGCAACAGGGTGTAGCCCAGTACTTAGACCGGTGCCGGCTTTTATGTTATACACCCTCCATGCAGCTGTGAACTGCTGTGAGTTGCCTCCAGTGAAGAATGGGTCTGTCTGGTAGCCATGGGTAAATAGTCCTGTGGGCAGTCGGGCGGGTCAATGCGTCAGCGATATTGGAGGCACCCTTTTTATAGGTGAGTGTGTGAAAATTGACTCGAGGAAATCAAGCCAACGAATCTGTCGTGGGTTGAGATGGGGTTGTGCGCGAAAGAATGTACTGAGTGATGACCTGTCCGTACTGTCACGTTTGTGCCGGTCGAGTAACAACGCCATACTTTGAATGCATGCACAATCGAAAGCGTTTCACGGTCATGTATCGGGTGATTCTTCTCGGACGAATGCAGTTGTTGTGACTCGTATGCGATGGGCTGTAGGCCGTTGCCAAAATCTATAGCAGTACGGCCCCGATGGCGATGTCATTGGCGTTTGAATCAATTTCGCATGGGCGGTGTGGTTCGACGATGCCTATGACGCGCGACAAATACAGAACCGTTTTCAGCGCAGAGAAGGCAGCATGCTCTTTCTCCCCCCAAATTATTCCATCAGCTGGGCTGTTATCCATGCCATGTCGGGGACGAACCCATGCACGTAATTAACAAAACCCAGAAAACTCTGTAGTTCTGTAAGATTTGTCGGGGGGTGCCACGCTTTGACCGTGTCGAACATTTTTTGGTCCCTTTCAACCACATCGTCTAAGATGACATGCCCTAAAAAATCTAGGTGGTCCTTAAAAAACTCGCACATGGAACTTTTCGTCAGCAACTGATTTTGTCTAGGATTTCGAACACTGTATCCAAGTCGGTTAAGTGTTGCTGCTTGTCGCAGCTGGAACAGGATGTCATCGAGGTAATGAATAACGCATTTGTCTCAAAATGGTCTAAACGCCTCATTCATCATCATTTGAAATCTTGCATGTGCATTGGTAAGTACTAGTTGCATCATAGTATATTATTCGTGAAATTTGCTTTGGCGCAGTCGGTGGGTTTGACTCAAATTTAATGATAATCAACTTGTAAGTCAATTTTTCAAAAAGACCCTAGCTCTTCGAACATAATCAATCAATCCATTCATCAATGCGGCGAAGGTAATTTCCTGATTTGATGGTAACCCTATTCAGTGCGTGGTAATATTTGCTCATTCGAAACCCTCCCTCCTTCTTTGGTGTGAACAGTATCGGTGCGGCAAACGGCGACGAACTCAGTTGGACGTATTTTTTCTTGAGAAAGTAATCTAGCTACTTCCAAAGTTCGTCCAGCTCAGGCTGAGTTAGTCAAAATTGTCGTTGTACTTTTGGCTATGCCCCCGGTTCGAACTCTTTAGGGTGATCGTGCGGTTGTTGAGGTGGCAGTCCCTCCGGTAAGTTGTCGGGAAAAATCTGAGGGTACCGTTTCAGTAACTCCTGTACTTCGGGTGGTACAGCTGCCAGTAGTGCCTGAAAATCGCACGGTTTCTCAGCTTTTTTTACTTCCGTAACCCCCACAATGTGCACGTGAGCTCCTAAAGCAATAGGTCATTTCATCGTGACGGTGTTGACATGGACCATTGAAGAATCAGGTAACCCAGTAAGGGAGTGCGACCCAGTTACATTCGCTTCGCATAGTGCAGCTACCTGTCATCCATTCAATTCGTAGGTTGGGTCGTCGCAGCCATTCACTTCCCAGACAAATTTCGGTCCCGTCCAGTGTTGTAGCGAGCATGTCCTGTATAGATCCGAATCATTTCCCACGGCGAATCCGAATCATTTTAGATTGTGGCTAGCCCCTCCATCTATAAAAATCTTAATTACCATCCCTTGTAGTAAATCAGTGCTGGATAGTCTGTCGTTGTACCCTCCTTATTCGGCCAAGCCCGATCGATTGCATGAACTGGTACAATCACTCGGTGAGGGTCGGTAGGGTCGGGCGAGCAGTGAGTCTTGTCAGTAGTGGGCCCGTACTCTACTGACTACTAGCGTTTTCCTGCCTTCCAGGCTCCATCCCTTGCTCTGTTCGTCAACGCTTCGACTCCTCTAAGCATTCGCTCTTGTGATGGTCCGGCCTGTTGCACGCGAAGCAGCGCCTCCCGGAGTGGTAGCTGCGTTTGTTGCAATGGCGTGAGTTATGGCGTGGTCGGTTGTTCCTTGAGTGCGTTGTCCGTAGTAGTTGGACCTTGGCCTCTGTCCTTGCAAAATATCTGTGAGAATCGAGAATCTGGTTCAGAATGAATTGATTGATCAGTTGGGTACAACACGAGGCTATATATAGTCTCGACACAAAGCAAAGTAACTAGGTGTTACGCGAAGGTTCCAAGGGTCGCGAAGTGTCCCGAATGGAGCCTTCCTGAATTCGGTAGAAGGCGTTATGTGGAAACTGAAAAGCACGGGTTAGGTGCACGGAATCCTAGTTCGGTGCTATAACCATAATAAAATATAGAAACGCACCTAACCTAGGAAATCAAGCAAAAGCATGCATGAAAAATAAACCTAGGCTAGATAAAGTAGAATAAAGTAGAGGCAAGCAAGTAATGCCTAGCAAAGTCACCGTACTCTCACACCCCCCCTCAAAGCTGGGTGGCGTGAGATACACCCTACTTGACAAGATAGTCCTTGAGAGCACGACGTGCATTGCCCAGCAGCTAGAGCTCCAAACTAGGCGAATGCCCTCCTGTACATAGTTGTGCCTTAGGGGTTGAGCTTGCTGCTTCTATGTTTGTTTCCTGCATTTCTGATAATGAATCCTGTTAACCCAATCTCAGTCCAGGCAGGAGCCAAGCAGAGCATAGATTAGATGCGGCAGTGAGTTCTTTTGACAAACAAAGAAGGAGCGGTCAGAGCTGCGGCGGAAGGGGGTCGGATGCAGCTAAGATCAGGCAATCGGTACGAGCCCCCGGTCGAGCCTATACCAATGGCGACTCCAGGATGGAGAGCCGGAGAAGTAGCCGGAACGGGAGGCGAAGGGCGTACCCCGCCATCGGCGGCTGCGCCAGGGAGAGAGCCGTACACCGCGCCGCATCGGAGGCACAACATGGGTGACCTGCCGAGCGGGACCCGCGGGCTTTTTGCGGGCTCAGCAGAGCTGCCCCTGGCGAAGGCCGCAGCACCAGGGACAACATCACGGATCAAAGAAAGGCAGGAAGACGAAGCGGCAACAGCGGGCTTGTTGGCGCGGTCTCGAACGATGTCACTCTCAGAGCATCAGGCGACAGAAGTGACGCAGGCGCCCGTTCGCTACGCGGCACTGCCCAAAATCGAGGTCCCTGAAAGATTCGCGGGCACGCCGGGAATAGGGAGCTCGCTGCGCAACTACATGATGCAGATCCGCAACGCCCAGTACCGATGGCAGAAAGACGGATTGGATCCAGAGGACTTTTTCCGCGGACTGTCGAACACGGTTACAGGGGAGGCTGAGACAGCTTACGGGCTGGAGTTGGAACGCCTACTCAGCGAGGCGGGGCAGACGCGGGGAATCACGTGGGAAGTAGTGCCCGATTTCTTTGCGATGCTGCGCCGACACTTCCCCGTGCAGACGCCGCAGCGAATGAGGGAGTTCGCCGAGTTTCGACGTCGGGAAGGAGAATCCCTGCTGTCATGCTACGGCCGGCTGCGGGAGTTGGCGTCTGATATGGAGTGTCGCGATGAGAGGAGGCTCGTCACCAAGTTTCTCACAGGCCTGAGCAAAGATTTGGCAAGGGAAGTGCGCGGGAGAATCTTTGAAATGGGGCCAGAGGCGACACTTGAGCAAGCCTACGAGCTGGCCAAGAAGCACGAGCTGGGGATGCGCTTGTATGAGATGGAGAAGGGGGAGGCACACGGGGAGGACCGCCGTCGGCCGGCTTGGGTGGCGGCGCCAACGGGAGAGCAGACGTTCAGGCGAGGAGATCGAGAGGCAGAGAGCCGGCGTTGCCATCGCTGCGGGCAAGAAGGACACTTGCAGCGAGATTGTGCACGGCCTCCCACCTGCGACCACTGCAAGAAGGAAGGGCACCTCCGCCGCGATTGCCCAGAGCTGCCAGTGTGCGAGAACTGCAACCGTCGAGGACATCGGACGCAGGATTGTTACAGCCGCAGGCCCGGGTCGGCGGGACCCAGGAGCAGAGAAGAGCTGGAAATCCAGCTGAGACAGCTGCAAGCTAGGATAAAAGAAATGGAAGGGGGAGCTCGCAAAGAAGCAGCGCTGTTGGCGAAGGAAGATGAGGGAAGCGACGGCAGCGAAGCGGAGTTCGTGCTCATGGTCCGCCCGCCGAGGCAGAGGGACGAGATCCACCTGAGGAGCGATGTGCGCGGGAGGCCGGAGCCGACCAAGAAGGAGCCTCGGCAATTCCGGGGGTATGCGGCAGAACCTGAGCAGGAGATGTCCGCAGAAAGGCACCCCAAGGAGAGAATGGTGTGTCAGCCATCAGTACTGACGATAGAAAAAGGGGGGATCACGGTAGGAGGAGTGGCGGTCTCGCAGGCAATCATCGATACCGGTGCACACCACATACTGCTGGGGAAGGGGCTGGCGCAGCAACTAGAGCTGGATGCCCCCAACCGACTGAATGACCGTGGCATTCTGGTGATGACGGCGGAGGGGGGGGATCCGAAGTGGATGCCCAGCACAATGCAGCCGGTGGAGGTGATCCTGCGGCCAGGAACGAAGAGCGAGTGCCGGGTCAGAGTGACATGCGGGGTAACACCGTCCGAGGATTACGACCTGTTGATTGGCATGGACCTGCTGTATCGCATCGGGGCGACGATATGCACCTGGCAGGAGAAGGTGCTGTACCGCGCCCAATACTGGAGGAGCGACAGCCCTGTGGGCACACTGCTCGTGCACTTCGTGAAGAGAGAGCCGCGGGAGGCCTTCCAAGCCAGGCTAGCCGAAATGAATGAGCAGTTGGAGGATTGGAGTTGGAAGCAATACGTGCTGGAACGAGAAACGAGGAGGGCAGAAGAGGAGCAGGGACAGCGCCCACTGGCGCTGCCCCCGCGGCTGACCGATCTCGGGCGCCTGCAGGAACCAGTGACCATAGTGGAGCTTTTTGGCGGCATCGGAACGGGCCTGGCGGCAGCTCTGAAGGCGGGGTGCAGAGTGAAGAAATGGGTGCTAGTGGAAATCGACCCCGTGGTCAGACGCATGGCTGTGCATCACCTACGGAAACTCAAGGGGTTGTACCCAAGCCAGCTGTTGGCCGGGGTGGAAGCCGAGGCGGAGGAGGACATGGTGAATGACATCCATGCGGTCAACGCTCAGGATGTGGCACGGTGGGGCCAAGTGGATCTGCTGATTGCCGGATGGGAGTGTCAGGGGATTTCACGGACAGGAAAAGGGCAGGGATTGGAGGACCCCAGGTCTATGCTTTTCCGCGAGCTGCTGCGAGTCATGAAGCTCATCTATCAGCAGCACGGGGAGTACTTGTACATCCTAGAGCATCCAGAGTTCTCCACGGACTGCAGGGAACCGGTGCGCCGAATGCTAGAGATGGTGGCGAGCGAGCTGGGGGCAGGAGTAGCATGGGACGCGGTGCAGCAGGGGTCATACTCCCACAGGGTGCGTCGCTTCTGGCAGAACGGGGTTTCAGAAGGAAAGCTCAGGAGCGAGCTGATCCAAACAGAAAGGCCATCGCCACGGCTGGTGGAAGAGATCCTGGAACCCCACTGGAGCCCCGCGCTAGTGCTAAAACCAGACCACCCTAGCCAGTTCCAATGTAACCAGCCTGGCCTGCCGAGAGAAGCATGGCCCACACTGGTGGCCTACCATGAAGCCCATGGGTTCGTCTGGGAGGAAGGCTTGCCAGGGCCAGGCATGGTCTATGACAGTATTCTGGACAAATGGGAAGAACCCACGGCGAAGGAACGAGAGCTGGCTATGGGTTTCACGCCAAACGCCACCGCCGCCCCCGGAGTTTAAGAAAAGGCGCGCAGGGAAGCGCTGAGCCGGGCCATGGACGTGGAAGCCATGCATTGGCTCATCCACGTCATACAATCGCACCTGGCAAAGAAGCAGCTGGAGATGGAGGCAGAAGTTGGAGGGCCGGGGGACGAGAGCGATGCAGACGTGGTGGCGAGCCAGCAGAGAGCGGAGCAGGTGCTACTGGACATGCAGGTAGAGAAACGGCTGCAACGGGAGAGGGGGTGGGCCATGATGGCCAGAGAGGTGGACCCGGAGGAACGGGCAGGGATCAGCGGCCACGCCGGCGCGGAAACTGAGCAGGGTAGGGAAAGCGACAAGGCACCCGTGCAAAGCAGAGCAGTGGCGCCTGAGATGTCAGCAGCAGCAGGGGCGGGAGCGGCAGGAGAAGGGCCCAGCCAGCCGATGCACACAGAGGCAGAGAGCAGGCCCAGCGGGGATGGCCCCCAGGCAGAGGTGGCAGAGGAAGGCAAGGCAGGCGAAGGTGGAGTGGAGTGGGTGATAGGAGAAGGGGTGCAAGGAGCAGCACGGGAGCAGCTATGGCAGGTGTTGCGCAAGAACCGGAAGGTCTTTGCATTCACGTTGATGGAACTGGGCAAGTACACCGGGGGAGAAATGCAGATCAAACTGACTGAGGACATCCCAGTGTACCAACGCAAGAGACGCATGAGCCCAGGGGACCTGGAGATATGCCGAGAAAAATGCAGAGAACTGCTGGAAGCAGGACTGATTAGGCCCTCGGAATCAGAGTACGCTGCGGCAACGGTGGTGGCGGCAAGGAAGGACCTGACAGGGGGCATCCTCTCCAGAAGAATGTGCGGAGATTACCGCGATCTTAACAAGCTCACCGTGGCAGATCGTTACCCAATGCTGACCCCGGAAGACATTTTTGACAAGCTGCCGGCAGCATGCATCTTCAGCACGCTCGACCTACGCCAAGGCTTTAACTAGATCAGGATAGCCGAGGGGGATGTGCGCAAGACGGCATTCCATGGGCCCGACGGACTCTACGAGTGGCTTTTCATGCCCTTCGGATTAAAGAATGCGTCGGCCGTATTCCAACGAGCCATGGACCGAGTGCTGCGGGGGCTTCAGCACTGCGCGGCGTGCTACATAGATGACGTCGTAGTGTTCAGCTCCTCGAGTGAGCAGCACGTGCAGCACGTGGAGCAAGTGCTGCAGGCGATTAAGGCAGCGGGGCTGACCTGCCACCCCAAGAAGTGCCATTTTGGCTCACGGACCGTTTAGTATCTGGGTTTTGAGGTCTGTGGAGGGCGCATGAGTATCCAGGCGGCAAAGGTGGCAGTGCTGGATCGCTTGGCAGTGCCAGACAGCCGCAGCACGTTGCGCGCCATCCTGGGCTTCCTGAATTACTACAGGAAGTTCGTGCCCAACTTCAGCAAGCGGGCGGCCCCGCTCAACCAGCTGCTACGGGAAGACGTGACGTGGAAATGGGGAGAGGCAGAGCAGGGGGCACTGCGGGAGCTACATGAGGCGGTCAAGTCGGGCCCGGTCCTGCAGCTGCCCAAGCCAGACGGGAGGTTCACCCTTTACACTGACTGGAGCAGCACGGGGATGGGGGCAGTGCTCTGCCAGCAAACCGAGGAGGGAGAACGTGTGGTGGCCTTCGCCAGTTGAGGCTGCAATGCTGCAGAGGCCAACTACAGCTCCTACGAGGGAGAAGGCCTCGCCGCAGTGTGGGCGGTGGCACACTTCAGAGTGTATCTGCAGGGACGAGAATTCACCCTCGTGACAGATCATCAGCCGCTCCTTTGGCTCATGAGTAACAACACGTTGACGGGGCGCAATGCACGCTGGGCCATGAGGCTTAAAGAGTTTGACTTCATCATCAAGCACAGGCCAGGACGGACCCTGCAGCACGTGGATGGGTTATCGCGCAATCCTCCTCCCGTGGAGCCAGTGGCGGGTCTCGTGGCATTGGCGAGAGAATTGGACCGTCAGGGGGGACGACAGCAGGAGTCAAGGAGTGCGCCTGATATATGGGAAGACCCAGAGACGCTCAGGTGGTTAAGGGGTGAGACGGAGGCGGATGAGGTCATCTCTGAGAGAGCACGGGCACGAGGTCAGCATTACCGCTGGTACGCAGGGCAGGTCCAGCTCAGGACACGAGAGGGATGGAAGCTGGTGCCAGCGCCAGCCCAGCGAGAAGGAATCATCCGGCGCGTGCACCAGCAGCTGGGGCATTTTGGACATGTCAGAACCACGCAGCTAGTGAACACGGGCTGGTGGTGGGCAGGCATGGCGAGGCAAGTGCGGCAGTTTGTGGAGCAGTGTGCAGCATGCGACAGGAACCGAGCCCAGGTGGCACAGAGCCGTCAGGAGCTGCAGTCACTGCCAATCCGAGGATTGGGATTCCGTTGGTCCCTGGACATGGCGGGTAAACTACCCCTTAGCAGGCGCGGCAAGCGGTACGTGCTAGTCATGATCAAACACGTCAGCAAATGGGTGGAAGTGAGGGCCCTCAGCAGCAAGAGCGCAGCCCTGGTGACCGAGGCCTTCACGGAACAGGTGCTCACCAGGATGGGCGCCTGTGGAGAGGTGCTAACAGATCAAGGGACGGAGTTCTGGGGCGAATTTGATGCAGCCCCGACAGCAATAGGGATCACACACAGGCGAACCTCTCGTTATCATCTGCTTGCAGACGGACTGACCGAGAGAATGGTGCAAACCCTGAAGCGGGGCCTGCGCGCCTATGGGGAAGCCAACAGGAGGAACTGGGACGTGGACCTGCACTGGGTGGCTGCAGGCTACAGATTTAGTAAGCAAGCCGCGCTGCGCGACGTCTCGCCGTACTACCTGCTGTACGGGCGAGAGCCCATTCTCCCGGTGGGGGCGCCCAGGGTGCTGACGGAGGTGGTGACAGCGGGAATACCAGAGCTCTGGGCGGGGCTGGCCAAGGTCAGGGGAGACTACCTACGGCTGCTGCTGCCGTCGGCCCTTGAGAACCTTCACATGGCCCAGTTACGAGACGCGCAACGCTACCAGCAGCGGCAGGGAGGAGAGCGGCCGCCACCAGAGACCCAGCCACAGGAGGGACAGGTGGTCTACCGTCGTGTTGCCAGGCAGGACGTGCTGGACAGAGGGCTGAGTGAGGAACGTTGGCGAGTGGTGGAAGCACGGGAGTCAGGCGTCGTGGTTCTGGAGAATCAGCAGGGCAGGCGGGTCCGCGATCATGTGACCAACACCGCCAGAGCACGCACCAGGAGCCTAACCAGTCTGGAGCAGAGCACGATGGAGCTGCAGCTTGCTCCAGAGGGGGCAAGTGCGTAGGAGGGAGGTACATCCAGAGAACGCTCAGGCAAGACGAGGAACCAACAGGGAGTGGAGTAAGCCATGAGCAGGGAAGAGAGGAATGAGAGGCACAGGGGCAGGGGACAGGTGGAACTGAAGGCACACGAGAGGCAGCAGAGCAGCATCACTACCGAGAGATTCCGACAGCTGTCGCAGAATTACACTGTCCAGCTTGTCGGCGTTTGGGTGGACAGTGTAATGCTGAGACTGCAGAAGGTGAATAAGGAGATGAGTAGTAAAGACGGTGTACAACACGTCAAGCGTCGAGTACGGAAAGCGAGTTCGTGGCTGCAAGCGAGGACGTGCGCAGAG